TTCTACAATATAAAATTATATTTCCATTAACAGATTCAGTTTCCAACCATGGATAATCATCAAACCACTTAGGATCAACAGCTTTTCTAGTGTGTGATTTTTCAAGCACTTCATCATCAGACAAATCAATGACCATTGGAATATTTGACATTTTAAAATATTTGAAAGAAATCGGTTAATTGTTAATTTGGTAAAAAAATTTTTAGTAACAATTTATTTCTGAATGATATTAATTTTTTCCGTGCACATGGAAATTTGGTGTAACGTGACACCCACTGATTGAATTTTCAACACTGACCGCACCCACCTCTGTTACACGAATCCCAACCCAGAACCCCATGATTGGTAGAAAATAAGGAAATCTTATCTTAAAAAAACCTTGTCGTGTAACCGAGGTGCCTGACTAATATAGGACCACGGATAATCATAATTGATGTCATATGCAAAAAAGTGGGTAAAAAACTGTCTTTTTAAAAGGTAGGTCATAGGTGAATCATAGGTAAAAATAAAAAAGGTCATATGTAAAAAGGGTAAAAAATTTTAATCTCATGTTTTTTTGAGGTAAATTTATTAAAAACTTTTCTGGTCACATACTATAAAACTAAGGTAGATTTTCAAAAAAAATTTCATGTAATACAATGATTATCATACAATAAATAAATAATGAAGCACACAGAAGAAATGTTTTTTTGAGGTAAATTTATTAAAAACTTTTCTGGTCACATACTATAAAACTAAGGTAGATTTTCAAAAAAAATTTCATGTAATACAATGATTATCATACAATAAATAAATAATGAAGCACACAGAAGAAAATTTAAGTGAACACCCTCTTGTTATTAAAATAATTGATTCAAAAACCATGAGATGTAAGTGTGGTAAAGATGTTCGTTTGGATAAGAAATGGGATCCTGATTTGTTTGAAAGACATAATAAAGGCGGTGGCTGTAAATATAATAATGGTTTATTAGGAATTACCAATTTTTTTAAAGAAAATGATAGTAAAACAAACAAAAGAAAAATTTATGAAGGGTTAACTGATGAAGAAACAAGGAATTATCTTAAATGTATTGGTTTAATAACATCTTTTGGTGGTGCACCTCATGTAGAATTAGTTGCAAAAGAAACGTTTCCCAGAAAATTTAACAAAAAATTCACTTGGAATTGTTTAAATAAATCAGAAAAAGATATTTTAAATAATGCTTTGCATGAAAAAGCATTGTGGATAAATGATAGTAATACATTTTGTGTTAGAAGCAATGATTGTTCTAAATATATTGATAATTGTTTAAAAAAAATTACCTGCAAACCTTGTCTTGATTTGAAAAAAAATCATGAATTTCAAGTAAGTATTTAATTTATAATTTATCATCTAATTTTTATTTGATTTTAAAACTGATTATATTATTGTAGAATGCACTTGCAAAAAAAATTCCCAATGATCAAAATAGAAAATTTATTCCAAAAATTCTTTATCAAAATAATTCTCTTTTTAAGTACTGCAATAACACCAATATATTAACTTTGTGGAGTTATCTTAATAAGCCTGAAGATAATACAAAGAATTTTTGGAACATTTGGCTACTTTGGGAAACAATGGTGCTTTTGATAAAAAAAAAGTATTTATTGGTCTATGTGAATTTTTTTGTACAGATTTCTACAAGAATCTCAGAAGGAAAGTCACTACAAAATATAAAATATCCTTCCCAATTTACAATTTTTTTAGCAATATTATCAAGTACTAGTCCACAAGCATATCATTTGTTTCAAGAAAATCTTGCAGAAAGGTCATTAAGAAATCTCAGGTAAATATCTAAGTAAATTTAAATAAATATCAAGCTTTTATCTTAAATATTAAATTTTACTTTTTATTTTTATAGACTTCTTAGAACAAATTCAGATTTATCATTAAATGATCCCAGAATATGTCATGAAAATATGCGCAATTTTAAACAATTTCTTGATGGTATTAAATATAGTGGTCCTATTGCTTCATCTACAGACAATACAATATAGATGATGATATTAGAAGTATTTCAGATAATATGGTTTTGGTTAATAATCATTTTGTTGGAAATAATTTATCAGAAGATATATTATTGAAGGATATAGAAATAACTAATAATGATGGACATGTTAATTTTTCAGCTTTAATAGAATATTGTACTCAAAACAAAGCATACACTTCTAAAAATATGTTGCAAATCAAAGCAAATATCCAATTAACCAACCAAAATTCAAATACAAATACAAATCCATCTACAATAAGTAGTTTAGTGTCACAAGTAGTTAACAATCTCAATAGTAATGACAATCAACCAAAATCATGTTTAATAAGATGGGGAATTAGAAAGAGATTAGACAATATAAATCAAATAACTCAAGATATTGGATTGAAGCAACTAAATTTAAATAGTTCTGGTAAGAATATTTAATCTCATAAAATTTTCTCAAAAACATGTTATTAATTTTAAATTTAATGCAGAATCACCTTCTATACCAGCTATCACCATTGCAAATATCTCATCAATATATCCAGCAATTAAAGGAGGATTTGCCTTTGCACTAATTAATTCTAAAATCCATCTTGTCCAATTTCTAGCATTATATTATCACTCAACTACAGGAAATTATCATTCTTATGCAAAAGAACCAATAACTGATGTTGATATTATTTCAAATGTTTCCTGTAAAGTATATATAAACCTTCAAAATAATATTTTTTATTCAACAAGCAAAGATGAACATGAATTGTTCTCGCATTTGTCATCAAACAAATCATTTATTATCTTGGTAGTCAAGTTTCAATTAGTAGTATGAATAATACAAATATGATTACTTTACACTCAACTGCATTTAAAATTTATAAAATTCTAACAGATGAAAAAAATTTATTGTCTATTCTGCATTGTCTAAATGTTTAAATATTAAATAAAGCAAATAAAATGTCATAGGGAATTTCATAGGTAAAATTACATATTTTTGGATGTGATATGAAAATTTCAGGGTAAAATTATCAAGCTTTTTGGGGGTAAAAATGGTCACTCACACTAATTGAGTGCCATATGACTTCTAATATGATTGTCCTATTTTTACTATAAATATGGAAATGATATACGAATACCGAATTTTTGGGTCAAAATCTCTTTTTTTTAGTTATCTCAAAATCATGATTTTGCTGTTAGGTCCTTTTCTATTTTCTGTGCCCCATATATTAAAGGAAATACATGCATTGTATAATATTTCATTTTTATGCCCACCAGGGCTCATGTAATTGATTAATCTTGCAATGTGTTGGAACTATAAGCTCATATGAATCAAAAATGTGATTAAACTTGTGATATGTTACTTCAAGTTTATTGGTTAATTTACTCATTTCACAATACATATTCTGCACAAGAGTTGAATTATATATATGAGTATTTATGACAGTAAGAAAAAAGACAATATAAAATAATTATTTCTTACCAACACATGTTGCACTACTTTAATTAGTTGTTTTAATTTAGCAATGTCAATAAGTTTAACAGTGCAAGTGTGCAATCTGAGTTTCCTAGTTAATATAGTTGGCTCGGTCTAAAGACCTCCTAAATTTTGGGCAAATTTTAAAAGTATAGAAGTCATTTTCTGTCCTACCTTTTAAAAAAATAGCCTCATTAGTTGGTAAAATAGGTTTCTACTTTTAATGTAATGAAGAGATTTTCTCCAAAAAATTATTTATTGTAGAGTTCTATTCTTTTTTAAAACATGTACTTTACTATGCTCATGAGAAATTTGAGCACTAGGATCATTGCTAAATTTAGACTAGTTTTTAATCATCATTCCTAAATTTAGCCTAATACTCGACCATCATATGTAAATTTGGCAGTAAGGAAAATAGTTTTTTAACCAAAATCATGTGTAACCCTTCTTTAAAAAAATTTATTGGATTTTTGAACGAATCACGAAATTGCAATTTTTGAAATTTGAGCGCGTGGCGCAGCAATAGGAGGTCTTTAGACCGAGCCAATCATAGGTTATTTATAGCTCAACACACAGCCTACCTGCTGACTTACAGTCAAGTTTCCTTTATTTATATATATATGTGACACACAGCCTACCTACTTACAGTCAAAGATTAATAATAAAAATGGCTTTTATCTTCTTGGATAAAAGGGTCCCTAGGTTCTATATAAATGATTATATCCCAAAGGCGTCCCCTTGAGATGTATCTGAATAATTAAAAGGGTTCCCAACTAATAATTAAAGGTTGGCCAGACCATTAACCATTAGAAGGGCTGGGGGTCAACCACACTGGGTTTATTAGTTACTTACAGTCAAAGACTATTTTATGTAAGGTTATATGTTTAATAAGGGTTATTATTATGTTGTTATCAAGGTTGTTATCAACAATATTAACAATTGATTTATTAATTATTCTTCTTAGCTTGGTCTAAAGCCAAGTGTATTTATACCTCTTGGGGCAGTACAAATAATGTGATATGTGCTACCCTACTCTCCAATAATATGCTATCAAACTAGTTACTAATTCTAAATAAGTATTTACATCATATGGGTAGGTTAATAAATATAAATATTGAAATATGAATAGGAATAATCTTCCATAATAATAATAATATTTAGCGCATCACATGACCTCTGTAGTAAATTTGTTCTAATTGGTCAATATTAACTGAGTAATTGATAGGTCCAAGGTTTACTATCTCACAACAGGAATTTGAAACTTTGGCTCGGGAATTACAAGATAAAACTTGTGAACCAATAATTCTAGCAACATTTGACCATCAGTCCCAGCAACCTGGATAAATGGAATTCTAATTATGTTGACCTGTTAATCATTTAAATTTAAACTAAGTAATCCATTAAGTATTGTCTGGTTTATTCTTGATGATTTGCAATAATCTGAAATAACTTTTGTTGGAAAAGAATATACTGCAAATTCCCGTTCACCAAGATTTGTACCCAAAGGAGATATAAACCTAACATCACACCTACAACTTTTAATATGTTTAGATGATACACTTGTAGGACAGAAAGATTCACCCCTTTATACTGTGAGTTCAAAATCCATGTCTCGCACAAATCTATTGATTTGGTTAAAATATTATTTATCCCTTCTTATGGCAGTATCCAATTATTTAATTCTTTGATTACTTTCTTTCACTATAGCGCTCAAGCTATTTAATTATTTACAGGGCAAGTTTCCTTACGGTAACGTTTTCTCAGCAGTTCTTTGTTATCTGCCTGAGCCGGCACGTCTCAATGATATTTATAATATCTCAAGTATCCGCCATGATACTTTTACACTGATTATTTATATTTATGGTTCAGTCTCTTAGCTGACCTCACCTAGCTAGGATTTCCACTATTTAGGCGTTTGCCTAATCTAGATAAAAATAAAGAAAATAAAATTAAAAGAAAATAATTATGCACGGGATTAGTATAATTCGTCGTTAGGGATAGTTTTATTATCATTTCAAAAATATAATGTTTGAAGTTAACAAGGACAATGACAATGACAAGGTCAAGGTTTATTTATTATAATAATATTTGAGTTTACTAAAAAACTTTGAGTTAATAAAACTAACTAATAAACTAAAGATTACATGAAAGAGAAACTTACAACGTATTTATACATTTTAGAGGTTCTATCATCTAGTTCTCCGATTTCTTTAAAATCCTAAATTATACTAATTAATGTATTCTTTAATCATTATTTAAACCTTCCATGTAGAATTATTTTCAAGTAATTTCTAGTCAACATGAGTCATGTAAAATTCTTTCGTTTAAATATTATTCTGAGACTTTGTAATCCGTTACATTTTAGAATGCTGGAATATTTATATTTACAATATTTCCGTGAGTCAATTATTTTATTGGTGTTCGAATAAATTGATCACTTGATCAGTTTTTCCGATTTTATTTGCGTGTAATAGTAACTTCGTAAATCATTTCCGATTTATATGTTCGTTTCCCGTGGTTTATAATTTACTATTTTACAATAATTTAAGTGATTTGTGAAAGTTCAAGATGCAAAAAAAAAATTTTTTTGAAATTTATACACTTTGTTACCATTTCTGATTAATTGGTTGATTCATTTCTAGTGTCTTTATCAGATAAGAAAAAGTTTTGATAATAATGTCACATTCTGTATAATCTTTAGCTAACATATCATTGCTATTCAATGTCTCATAAACTGTGCACAATAAAAGTAAAATAAGTCAAAGCTTTCAAATAAACAAGGACATTCATATTCACTTACAAGTCAGAATAGATCTTAGTGATTTTATATAAACAGCTATATGATTGTGAATCCATATGTTCTTTTAAGCAATATTTATATGTTTGAGTTTTGTTACCAGTTTTTATCATCTTTATTTTGATAAAAATATGAATGTGTATAGTAAAAAAACAAATAAATAATGAATAGCATTAAGGAATCTTAAGAACATATCTACCTCTTCAACTTTACTTATGAATTTATTGCTTTCATCCGATAATTCTGGAATCTTTAACATCCATTTGTAGTCTTTTACCATAAATTTGCTTTCTTCATCAGGAAATTTTCCCTGTTGTAATATTATGTTTATAAATTTTAATATGAAAGTTGTAATATTTGCATAAAAAATTATGTAATATTTACACTCAATGTAATAATTGCATGATTTTTGCATAATATTACAGGGCCCACCATAAACTTATGTAAATAGTGTAATAATTATGTAAATCCACATCAGAAAAAATTTCCTGATGTTCTAAAGTGAACCATTTATTCATGTGGGATGAAAGGTCTATAATTCTTGAGGCACCATACCTTAAAATTGCTCTTACTGCAGGAGTCAATGCTTTTTGTTGAATGGGCATGATCTGAAATATTTTTTTAAAATATCTCATTAACAGCCTTATTTTCAGTCAGGTTCCATTTATCCACAGTGGTAAAATCTGTGAACACATTTAGTTCCAGAAGTTCATCTCCTTTGTCATCAATTTCATTGCCATCATTTTCACCATCAATTGGATATAAATCAAGGGAATAATATTCTTTAACTGAATATAGAAAAATATATGAGTTTTTTCATTTCTTTTAATTTAAAAACCACAGACAACATTACCCTTTTATATATTCTCTAAATGAGCATCAAATAAATGAATGATATTTAACAATTCATTAACATTTTTGCTTTATATATGATTCAATATGATATATATTTACTTGACTATTATGAACATCATCACTATTGTCATTATTTCATTTTTGTTGATTTACAGCAGAAATAACTTCACCTGAGCTGCTGAACCTTGCCTCATTGAGAACCTTTACACCTTCTATTATATAGTTTTCCCCAGCATTTTTCTATTTTTGGAAATGTTAAAGTTAGTATCAATATATATACAGTGTATACATGCAGCCCAAAGTATTTTGACATTGTCATAAAGGGGGTTACACATGTAGTAAAGGGGTGTTACACTTATGTTTTTAATAGTGAATGCCGTAATTAAATTTCTACTTTCTACCATCAAAATCACCAAACCAATTTGGGCTACATGTATAATACAGTCAATCCCTTTTACAGTTGCTCCTTTTGGGACAGGTACAATTATAAAAAAGTTAAATTACACACCCCTACAAAAAGTATTGACTCACTTGGGGGCTGTTCTAGGAAAAAGTGGGTTTCTTCAGATTTTTTGTTTTTGAGATATTCATAAAAACAAAAAGCACCCC